TCAACATTTAATTGTATCTTAGAAATGAGATTTCCAAAAGAGGAGACTCCGGCAAAACCTGTTGCAAGAACAATTAATTTTTGTTTGCCTTAGATACCTACAGGGTGGGGCAAAAGTCAGGCAGCAACATTGTACCCTCCAATTACCACCTATTCAGAAGTCTACAAAACTATCTCAATGGAAAAGAATTTGAAAGTTTAGAGGCTATCAAAAGTGACCTGTCCGCATTTTTGCTTCAAAGCCAAAGGAATTTTATAATCATGGAATTGAAATGCTTGTAGAAAGGTGGCAGAGAGTCATAGAGAACGAAGGGGAATATATACTTGATCGAAACTTGATGCGATGCAGGTGTATTTTAATTTTGAAAAACAGAGAAAAAAACGACATTACTTATGATAGTTTCATTATTTCATTATCGAGCAAAATGCCTCAAATTTTCTTTGACCCTTTCAGGCAAGAATTAAGGCCACGATCGGAATGAGAAAAGCGTCCTCACGGGTGAGAACGGCCCTCCGCCTCGGTCCCATCTTGTCGCGGCGAGGCGCCCTCCAGGCATAGAGCAGAAAGTCGACGACGTATTCCAGGACTTCGAAGAGGGACATGCACGACATCCCCACGAAGAGTCCCATCCACCCGCCCAGGACTCCGACGAAGACGAGCCACTACCCCGGGCAAAAGAATCGAGAGCGAGCGTCGCCTCTGTCCCTCGGGGAAAGGCAGCAGCCGACGAGCCCATCGAACGCGCGTTCCTCGACGAGACCGAGGCACGGTTTCCTCACTCGAGGCGTTCAAAGGAGGATGCCCAAATCCTATGGGATTTTGCCTAATCGCGTTCCACGATGAAACCGGTGCCGATCGATAGAGCACCTCAAGTAGTGCACGAGTGCCAGTGGCCACACGGTCACACCGTGATCAGAGGTTGCCCTCATCCGCCAGAAGGCGAAGAAATCGGGCAACATATTTTGGCCGATTTCGACATACCTACAAACTCGGACCCTGGGAATCGAACATGTCATACACGTTCTTTCGGTATTGTTGAAAGTAGGTATTCTAAAGAAATGCTCATCTTTTGAAGTGCAATGTAATTTCACCGTAACCTAACCGAGTTTTCAACCCTCTAATGGTTCAGGGCAACCTCGGATCTCGGTGTGACCATCGACACTTATGCACTACTTGAGGTCCTCTATCGATCGGCACCGGTTTCATCGTGGGGCACGATCAGGCCGAAAATGAAGATCCTCCTTTCTCGTCGTAACAGTCCGCACAGCCACTTTGTGTCAACGTTGAGAAAAGGTTGAACGTTCAGACTTGGTCTCAAATCGCAAATCATAAAAGATGAAAAACGAATTTGCGCTAAATAGCCACTAAACGACTTCGCTAATCCACGAGTAGTCACACTATGCTGCAAATACTGTCAATTGCGAATAGCCAGCGTTTCATCGATGCCGATTCTTCGTCGGATCCTCAACGTTCAACCAAGTCTCAACCTTCAGCCTTTTCTCAACGTTGACACACTCAGAGAAATCGGTAAATCGAGATGAAATACTTCTCTCAATTTTCGCGTTTCGATTTATTTTTCTCAAGAGAAAAAGACATCAAGTGGATTTTCGATTTATATCTCTCACTTCCCGACCGTGCAGGGTCGCCTGAAAGGCGTTCTCAAAACCAAAATGCGTCTATAGAGGAGTCGGAGGGGTGTTTTGAGTGGCTGCGCATCGTCTAGACACATGTTAACCTCCGTATTCCACTTCATTGTGCCGAAGAAGCCCCCCCCCCCCTTCCGTCCCCCCCCCCATGAACCCTCGGGGCAATGCATTGACAGCCGAGGGATTCACACGCAACCGCCTGAGTGCATGGCCTCATCGCCACTTCACCTTTCCTCCGACCCGTGCGAGTAGCTCGTGCGTCTCGAAGGGATTCCCATGCAACCGCTCACTTCATTCTTCGAGTCCAGTTTCATACGGTGTTTGTATTCCGTTTGGTGCGTTGGTAGTGCAACACGTATCGCCAATATTAGATCAGACTGTTAACTATATATATTTAACAGTCTTTTAAGAATACATGGATTCCTATGGGAGAAAAAGAGCTCCTTCGCTAAAAGCCCCGTTGTCTCCCTTGAATGAGGTTCGTGTATTCGGACTTTAAGCTCAAAAGTTCCCACAATAGGACATGCAAGGAAAATTTCGATGTGGCTGAAGTTCATCACGAAATGTTCAATGCGGCAGAATATACCTGACCTATACACGCAGAATCAAATTAATGCATTTTCGTCGAGAAAAAAGTTGTCCTCCATGTGATGCGCTTTTATCGCATCGAACATTTGATGCGATAACCGCATCCAAAATTCGATGCGATAAAGACACATCACATGCAGGACAGATTTTTTCGCGAGAAAAATACATCGAACTGAGGCACTGAATTTTCTGTGCACAACGTGGCCGTGCCGACCGGGACCGGGGAGGAACCGATCGAGGTAAATATCGCCCCGTTTCCAAAACTCACTGTCAATCCCGGCGATTCCCCGTAGGTCTCCACGATCATCGTTTCGTAGTAGACGTTCACAACGGCCGCATTCTCCAACTTTCTACGGAGAGGAAGATCATGCAACGAAAGTAAAATATCCTCACTCGAACACACCGAGTTCGCTGCCAAAAGTTGAAAAAATACTCGAATCGTAAGTTGCATGGGACAGCCGAGCGAAATGCATCATTTCGTCTTTCAGTTGCAATTCTACTTGCAACTGTGCACCAAAACGATGGACAAAATAAGGACGAACCCGCGTCGAAGGCAGAATGTTTTATTTTCGAGCTGGCTCTCGTCGAGTCCCAGCCCCTTCTGCTTCTTCAGCCAATCGACGAGGTCCGAGAGCATCTCGTTCTCGGGGATCAAGTCCACGGACGACAGCGACCAGAAGTACCTGTTCTGACTGGGAAACCATTCCGATTCCGTGAACCTCCTGTGAACCTCCTGTGAAGCCGCCCGTCGGGTGGCGAATGGGGGGCGGATGGGGGGCAGGTGGCTCACCTGCAGGGGATGGAGCAGCCGCAGGGGGGCTGGTCGACCGAAGCGTCGAAGCGTTGCGGTTTCTGCACGGCTCGGAATGCACCTTTGGAAGGGGGTGGGGGAGGATCGTCGTGGATCATTCGCTCTCAAAAAATTATTAGGAATTAAGACTGGTCTTGCGATGTCGTCAAAACGGATTCAAGCCTGCGACGAGGCAAGATGCGAAGACCGTACTTGATTCATTGCAGTAATTGGAGGAATTCCATAAGTCCTGCAGAAGGGGGGACTTGTAATAACATTTGGTTTCGTTCAGAATCTTTTCGATCTTGCATAGTTCCAGGCACAGCTGGCGAAAGATAGAAAGAAAAAAAAACACGTTAACGGGGAAATATACGTCGTTTTGAAATTTCAAATTTTCAAAATGGAAAAATATATTCCAGGAAGACATGTTTCCTCTTCCATAAAATGTTTTTTTCCGAATTTTTCTTCGTCTGGTTCAGCCACTTTCAAACACCTCGAAGATTACGCATAAAAAGTCTGGAAATCCCCGTCCGTTTTCAGTTTCTCGCCGGAAAGAGGGAAGCCAGCGCGCTTGTTCGCTTTCGCGCCGACAATCGCGTCGGTTGCGATTCTGGTACTGCCTAAAGCGGACAGAGCGGGGCTGATGCGTGTTTCCTGGACGGAAGTGTGCATCGGCCTCGGGATCGGCATTGGGAACAGATATCTCGATCGATGACAAGAGAGATACAGTAGACGCGACGGGAAAATAAGCTCGAACGAGATTAAACTGGATGCTTTCATGGACAGGCAAAAAGGTTGGGGGGGGGGGGGCAACATTGACGCTAGATACTAGACAGTAAGCAACTAGGATACGCAAAAAAAAATCCCAAAAATACAAAAATATTTAGCTTTAAGAGGGTTAGGCCTACCCTAAAATTAAGGAACGCTCGACCTCGACACGTGATATCGAAATGGGTGAAATCGCCTCTTGATATCATTAACTATCTTGAATCTTGAATTAAGAACTCTCGGGTTTTCTTCACCCGTGGCGAATTCCATTCGAGCCTATATTCCTAATTTCATTCTATCTCTCGCGCCATCAAATACGTACGGGAACGATGCGAGCATGAAATCCTTACCTTCTCGGAGTACTTCGTCTCGTTACTCTTCGTGAAGAGCCCGTTGAACCTGTCGCCGAGGTAGGAATCCGGGGAGCACGACCCGCCGTTCTCCGGAGGGAGTCGATTCACTTGAGTCTTCCTCACGGCCACGTGGGAATTCTTCCTCGGCGCCGCGTCCAAGCCCTCCGTCGTTGGGTCGGGAGGCAGCTGCGGGTCGTGCAGGACCAGACGGAATCCTTCGGCCGGGGACAGGAGGGTCAGGGGGTCGGAGCCGTTCCAGGACAGCCGGAGGTGGAGTCCGTGCTGAAAAGAGGATTTAAGAGGGCTTCAGGCGGAGCAGGTTCGTCCCGAGCATCGGCTGCAAAGAGGGCCGTTACCAATAAGCCGGCGCGTTCCGTCGTCTTGTTTCCCCGGTAGTTGAAGGACACACACTTCCCGTAGTAGGGGTCCGTCACCCACTGGAGATCCCTATGAGCAACACGGATCATCAATCGATCTCGCGGGAAGCCATAGGCAATTTCAAGGTTCTTCGTGGGTCAATCGATAGAACTCTAAAATTTTGGAATCCAACGAAGGCAAGGGGGCTCCAGCGATGCCTGTTGGTGGATCTTCCCGTCTGATGAGAGTTCTAATGGAGTCATTTGTGTGAAAATCCTAGTTTTGCACTCCCCTCGTTTCGATAGAAAATTAGGTTTTAATTACATGCTGCATCTGGCCAGATATAGACTCTTTCGTTGTAGGGAGCCAACGTTAGCGAAAGGTAAGAAGAGAAATTGCACTCTTGCAAACGAAATTAAAACATCCCGTCAAAAATAGATACTCCTCCCTGCTCAAAACGTCATTAGCTGCTCCTACGGTCCTCGTGTTCGCTTCTGAATCTCCCTTCCATGACGCTATTCCCTCTCGCGATGACGTCAGACCCGGCCAAAAAGGCGTAGGCCCTAAAGTACGTTTCCCCTGCGAGACGAAAGAAGACCTTACTCTGGCCCGCACGGTGCCCCCCCGAAAGTGCAGTCGGGTACGAGCGCGCTGGGGGAGATGATGCCGGAATCATCCGCCAGTGCCAGGAACGAGCGGAAGTCTTCCAGTGCGAGGTTGGTAAGCAGCAACATGCTAGGGTAATCATCTGTTCTGTATGTCGTGCCGTTGATCTCCACCGTGCCATCTGGGAAAAATAATTACCAAAGGCCTTCATAGAGGAGAGCGTTTGAATGTGTTTGGCAAGGATTGGCTGGGGGGGGGGGGGGCACTAATGGAGAAATGCAGTATTTATGATTCATCATCAATGTGAGAATGAAGTTCTCGAGGCATGTCCATGCGACAGTAGCTAAATGTAACAGGGTTTTAAACTTCATATGGCATTTCATTGCTAATAAGAACTCGAATGTATTTCTGACGTATGCACAATGGATGAGAGCCCATTAGACGTATTGTGTTCATTTTTCGAGATCTGCAATAAAAGGGACTTAATGGCCCCTGAGGGGATTACTAGATAGCCTATGAAGATGACGGTAGGAGAACCCAGAATTAACACGCTTTGAAAGTGACTGCATTTTTGCAGCACTTTTGGGTCAATGGATCTACAGCATTTGAGTACAATCGAATCCCTTAAAATAAATATCGATTGACTGAACCAAATTGATTGATTTTGAGACACACATACTTTTTGAGACATTTTTCGAGTTGCTGCCGATCCTGGAGTAATTCTGCCATGCTTCTGGAAAGAGACACCGAACAAGCAAGGAGAAAGCTGCTGGAATCTGAAATAAAGCTGAGGAATTAGTTTGAGAGTTTACGGTTGAGGTAAGCGAAGGGCTTGACGCAGCTCGTCGCCGTTCCTGCGTTGCCGACCGAGCATGCCGTATCGTTAGAGGCCGGACTGGAGCCGTTCCCCGCCCGAGAACACGAGGAGTCGAGTGGCGCCGACTGCCCGATCGCGGTCCGTAGGTCGTCGTTCAGCCTGAAGAGGTTCTTGAATCTGGTCAGCGTGGAGTCGTCGGTCAGATCTTTCCGCAGGGGACCGTAGGGGCACACGGTCACGGCAGGAAAGGCGATACTCTTCTTCTGATCCAGCTGCGGGAGATAAACGGTCATCCGAGCGAGGTCATTCGAACGAGGTCATACGAACGAGGTCATCCGAGCGAGGTCATCCGATGGCTCTGTCCGGTCGAGCGAGCGTCTGGGACGATCGAATCTTTTCTCACCGTGATCGATGTCGCCTTTTGGTACTGAAGGTATAGGTTGATGGCTTCCATCGCTTCGACGACCAAGTACGCTGCAGCAGCCAAGAAGAGGAGAAGCCAGCAGAGTTTTCTGAACCAGGAGGAATCCTTATATGCCACTCGAGTCAAGCCCTGAAAAGACATGCGAAAGGAATTTCCCATCCGTCGTCGGCCGCACTTCCGTCACGCGGACAGTGGTTTCTCTTTATGATTGAAATTGGAGAGGTTATCTGCAAATTTGATTCCGTCGAACTTTGTTCGCGACGGAACTAAACTCCAAAGGCCGTGCCCACTGTCAAGACGATTCGACGGGGAAGAAGACGTTCCGCGTGTCCATATTTTCACTGCCCGGGAACTCACTGGACTCGTGTTAGGAGTCTCTAGGACGAGAAGGATTCGCAAGAAACGGGCGGGACTCTTCTGCAACTGGGTGGTTTCACCGAAACTGCTGCCGGTCGGTGATCCAACTCGTATTCCTTTTCCCACTTTCGGGTCCATTTTCCCGGTGATTCCGAAAGGATTTTTTTTTTTTTGCCCCACATCATTGTCTATACCAGCGGTTCTCAACATTTTTTTCCTTGTGGCATCCATCAGAGCACGAATTCTGCATCGTGCATCTAGCTTTCTTAACCTATTTTCTAACTCTTTATAGGAAACTTGATCAGTGCTCGATACACTTTCAACTAGGAGACTGAATATTAACACATTGACATGAAAATGCAAACCTCCACCTGAGTGTCGCGGTCGGAAACAAGGAATGACACGATGAAATGTGGCTTTTATTGAATAAAGCGCATATGATGACCAATATTCGTCTTTATTATATGATGTGCCACTGAGACATATTGGCTATTTAAGAGAACCGCGTCTGAGGATCACCGGTGATCCTCATGACAACCAATGCGTTAAATAGTTAAAATGTGCAGCTGCAGTTCTGGATTCGTTCTTTATGAAAAAGAAATCGCCTGACAGGTGGACAACTCTACAAGTGGGAGGTTACACACTCTCGATAGCAGAATCTTCAATTCTTGGTCGTGTTGGTCATGAGGGGCGATGGAAGGAATAGGCAGGATAGGAAAAATATGGTAAGCGAAAAATTCGTTCTGACGCGACGAGAACGGAGTTCCCAAAGCCGTACTTCAAGCCGTTTTCATATTACTCTCTTGCCATCTCTTAATTGTCACGACATACTGAGGCCTATGCACGGTACACCGGTAGGTTACGATTTGTCTACACCATCTCCTCTTCTGGGATTACATTCATAGCCAAAGTCACGAGAGTTAAAAAGTGGACAAAGCAGGCCCACGACGATAAAAGAGGACTTCTGCCTCGCCTTTACCCCGCCCACGCACGAATCAGACGGAGTTGGACTTGGACTCACGTGTCCGGTCCACCTGCCGAGGAACCTCTCCGTGACGGGTATGACCCCGGCGATCTCTCCCCCTTCGTCCTCGAACTGGATGTCTGCCTCGACCCACCCCTTTCTCTCAGTCGGGGTCGAAGGGTCGCGGTCGACTTTCCTCATTGTCGGAATCCCCCTCTGACGGGGAAATTTATTCCACTGGTTCTCTTCAGACGGTACGCTTCAGAGCACACTGAAAAGAATTACGAAGTCGAAGTTGAACACTGCGGGCGAGCATTCCTTGCAACTCTCGGGATCATCAAATCCACGGGTATAAATGTGATCTTAATTTCTGTCTTGAGCGCGTACGCACGGAACACCCAAGACCAAATGTGCACTCGGAATCCTATTCTTCCTATCCTTTCGAGCTCGACCTCTTTGCCGAACGAACTTCTCCACCCAATTTATGCATTCCTTCCTTCCCTGTGGACGGCATGTGCGTCATCACCCTCGTCCACGCAATTCTCATGCGATCATCAAGCACCAGAAGCCGTTCCCATAGGTACTATGGGAAAATGGCACATATTGCGATCGGTCAGGCACGTTTTTTCATTCCGTCTGTCCGCAGTGACCGTAGCGACCGAACGACAAGGCCCAATCCGCACGCGCAGCTTTCTGCCTGGGTCGGAGTGCCCGTCTTCCACTCGAACATCCACTTCCCTTCCAGCCCTGGCGGTTAATGGATCCATAATAGACAATGGGGGAGAGCGGCTGCTCCCGGCTGCGTAGACAGGATTGCTAGGCGTACGCGTGAAATGCGCATCTGGCATTCCACACATAATCTCCTCCCATCTCCACGCGACGCGGACGCGCGAACCATCGAGAACATGTCTAGTCTAGGACCTTTTCGTATAGGCCTATGCTTTACCAATGACAGCTATTATTTATTTCAAGGATGAACGGTTAGGATGCGGCGAAGAAGGTATTTTCAGGTGCGATGGGGCCGTTATAATGGCAGATCTGTATCTGGGCTGGAACTCTAGTTTCATGGTTGGATGATTAGGATGCGATGTAAATATATAATAATTCCAGTGTTGCAGGGCCAGTGGAATGACAAATCCGTACTTGGGATGGTACTTTAGTTTGTGGCTACATGTCTGTGCTCGTTGCGGACTTCAATACCTCGAAAGCATTCGAACCCTTGTGCAGCGCATGTGGACCGTTCCATTCAATAATACGAACAAGTAATTTTCCCTTTTCTCACCTGAGCATTCCCCACAATCGCCATTTCATTGAAAGAGTTCATGATCACGGCATGCTTACATGCATGTATATACTAAGTGATTTTAAGACCGTCCAGAAGTAGTTAATACGTATCCCTAGCACAATTAAAGACACCTCAAACATATACCTTTCACCCCTTGGAAATTTCCCCACCCTGCAACTCTAGCATCATATCGAAAATGCATCATACCCGTCTCTTCTCTTAGCATAGAGCTGGATGCAGCACTGACTTCAAGCTAAGGACTGCCCAAGCGGCATGTTTATGAAACAATATGTCGATTTTTTTTTGCGAACAATGTCAATTTCTTGCGATTGTCATGCTAGTGATATCACGTTTATAGAAAATTTACATCACCTAAGTGGATGTTTATTTCATATGAACGAGACATGACAAAAATTAATATCAATATTACATAATATTAATGTAAACATGCTGTTTGAGTTTCAATTTTGTATCATATTTACACATGCTGCTTGGGATGTAAACGTAAATGTCAATTTCACGAAAAATTCTCGTCACTTTTATATCACCGTTTGCGTATCACAGCGGTGACATTTCTGCTGAAGATTTATTTTGATAAGAATATTGATGAAGATTTGCGTAAAATAGGTATAAAATGGGCAAAAATACTGTATATACATTAATTTCATATACCTAGGTAATATTAACATAAACATGCTGCTTGGCTGCTCTTTAAAAGCAGTTCTGTCCTTTACAAAGCACGCGGAGACACCAAGCGGCCTTTAAATAAATCAGATTTGAGATCCATTGTCGCGAAAAATGTTAGTTTTCAGCAGGAATTCATCATTAATAATAAATTATCGTAAACTTCAATGATACCAGGATCACATCTCGCCATCACAGCAGCGTTGTTACGAGTCCCACGAGTCAAACGCACGGTTGCACACCAAATGAGATAAATGCACGAGACAAGTGCGCATATTTTTCTGCCAAGGCCGCGACAGCAAAAAAGCGCGATACAAAAGGCGAGTGCCGTTTCCATGGCGAACGCGGTCGCGTTGGGAGTCGCTCATCAGTCATCGCTTCTCCGCAGTTGGGGGAACACGTGGGAACGGGACGAGATGGTTTATCGTAATTATTAGGAAGGAGTGATTGTGCGAAAGGGGCACGTGCCGATTCGCGCGGATAGGGGATAACGAGTTCTCGATTGCACAGCAGGGGATCGGGTCTTGAAAAAGCGGGGGGAGTCGAGTCCTGCGGCCGATTTCATGGAATTTACAAGTTCTACATGCTTCAAGTTACTAGCAATTACAAGGGTCGTGTCGTAGTTGTACGAAGGGGCAGCGGGACCAGCAGAAAGAGTGAAACGAGGAGCACCACCCTTGCAAGTACTCGTAACTTGTAGAATTTGTAAATTCCACGAAACAGGCCCCAGGTCGTTCGTCGTTCCTTCTGTTTGGATTTCATCGATGTTTAAGGGGATTTCGTTGAGGAATTGAACATTTCCCATCGGTGGATTCGCATTTATGTCCGTTTCTTTTTCGCGATCGTGGAGAGCATGAAAGGGATTAAATTGTTTGTGTGACTGGGGAAATTGGGAACCGAAAGATGATGACTCGAACTGTGCCTTTATTTTAAATCTTAGATATAAAGGCACACCCTCGAAGTACCTCGAAGTACCTCGAAGTTCAAGTACTGACAGTGTGGAGCGGTACTCGCCGTTCGTGTTCTCTACAAAGAACTTGTATCTAAGGACTTTTAACACGTTGACGACCAGCCTATTTTTGCTTGTCCGCCGCGTGGGACCACGAGCATTTTTTTTGTCAAAAAATGCGTCCTGCCATCAGGACGCATGGTCCCAGAAAACATTTTTTTTTGCCGAGTTTTTTTAAAATGTTGAATTTTTTGGAATTTTTATCAGTAATTACGAAATCATAATCTTCTGGAACGTTCTCAACAGTTCCAGAAAAAAATTCATTGAAAAAAAATCTGCATCCTGGCATCAGGACGCATTGTCGCCAACGTGTTAACATGCGTTTATATCTGCAAAGAGCAAATTGACGGCAGACGCCAAAAAAAAGTTGAGAGGGGAAACTCGTCGGTACGAAAAGAAGAGTAAGAATCACGGGATCAGGATCCCAAGAGCGAGAAAAGTTCATTAATCCTATTCTGTTCGCATTTTTCCGTCTGGGAAATCTGGAGGGAATGGGAGTTTTTTTTAGGGTTTTTGCAATTTGAGATACGTCCAGATCAAATGAGGGCGGGAAAAAATCGAGTTATTACGTGCGAAACCTTAGGGCAAGAAGGGCAAAAAAAGGCAAAAGTCCTTAATGAGAGCGAGCAAAATTCCTCCCTCGAGTTTGGTTCGGCGTCGCATGACCTTTGCACAGTCATTCGGCTTCTGCCGCGCATTAGAGTGAAAAGGGCGAAATCTACGCATCGAACCATAGCAGAAAGAAGGGACAGGGAGATAAATGAACGGAACGCCTGCCCCATCGAGCCTGCTCGGTTCGATTGCCCGATTGCCAATTCTGCGTGTTTCGTCCGTTCGCGAGTCCCTTTGGGGTGTCGTTTCTAAGGGTGTCCAAGAAATGTTAAACGAGGAATGATGCGAGTCGAACACACGAGCTACAGGAATGGCTCTTTTTCGGCTTTGGTTTGTTCTCCCAGCTGGATTGCATAATAGGGACACTGCGGTCTTCATGTCGCAATAACAGCTTTCGCCGAGCTACGCGGAGAGAACTGGACGCGAGGCGAAGAGGGAATGTCCACAAGCGGGAACGAGAGGAGCTCGTCTCGGAGCGCATCTACGCGCTTTCGCGCAGCCGGATTTTCTCCCATTGCAAAAGCCGACCGTGGCCACCGGAAAACGACGACTGCAAGTGTCAGTGCGAAGCAGTCTGCCCCGCTACTCATTTTCCATCTGTTTTGTCCGACTATTTAATATCTACCAATATGTGAAAGCATAATTACGTAAAAATTTGCCAGATTGATTGTAAAATGAATTGGAGAGTATGGAGAATGGCTCATAGAGAGGCAAATATAATGACCCAGAGGCCCTAAGAAAATCCTCGATATCCTATTTTCTCGGAGACATTATAAGGAGCATTTCATCATTCAAGTTGCGCAACTTGCAGCTATCTGAAATTCTGCAGATGTTCCTACACAGACGATCACCTAAGAGTGAAACTTCATCTTGGTTCTTTTCTCCCTTCGAGCATCTTCTGCTCCTTGATTCATGATTCTGATGGAGGAAAAATTCCTGCGACGCACAATTAACGAAAATAAATTCCCTTCTCGCGAGAGTTCCACCATGTATAGTGACGCACGAGACATGCACGGCCACTGCTTTTCCCCATTTTTCCGAATCCAACTTCAATGCTATTACATGAGTTAGACCCTTTTGCTATTGAGAAGAGTAAAAGGAATACAGAAGAAACACTACGTAGAGTCAGTGTGCACCTGTTTCTTCAACAGGAAACTGATGAAGTGGTATGAATGCTGGAGGGAGCGAGACATCAACCTACCGCGGCGAGAGCTCGGAAGGAAATGACTAGATCCGCGCGGGTCGTCTGGTTTTGTGAAATGAAAGATTTGGTGGCGCATGCGTATTGCATAGGTGCGCTCTGCTGCGCAGAGAATTCCAATCCCCTTATGACTCTCTCCTGGTTCTGATGGTTTTTCTCAAAAAGTAGAAAAATTGTATCCTTAGGGAAATGCAACTATCACCAGTGTTGGGTGCGTTACTTGTAAAAAGTAACTAATTACAATTACAAGTATTCCATCCAAAAAGTAATTAGTTACCAGTAGAATTACTTCTCACCAAAAGTAGCTAATTACAAGTAGAAGTTACCTTTCTAGTTACTTTTCCCGAGCAAATATTCTGATCTTACTAAGCTTCTCCAATTCTTTGACAGAAGCTGGATGCATGCATTGAAAGCAAACGTTACCTCTGATTTCAAGAAAATTGAATTGTGATTATCACCGAACTGGATAAATCTTCATGCTC